TGAAGCCAGAAGGATGAAATAGAGTATCAGAGAAAAAAAAAAAAAAAGTCATGCAGACAGAGAAAAACACCAAACAGATGACTACAAATACCTACATTTAGGAGGTCCCTCTCCTGCAACGCTGCTATTGTGAAGATTAACTACTATCACCATTTCCTATCTAAAATGATGTTGAATTTTGTAACTCATTTCTAAGCAATGAATGATCAAGTATGGAGTATGTTTAAGCTACCTAATTGAGACAAAAAGGTCATAAAGACTTGTACATAATGTACAAGATCTGGGAAATTCAGTTGGGTAGAATAAAAGACCAGAAAAACTTTATAAGTAGCTGTCTCCATTATGTTTGAGGAAGAAAGAACTTCAGTCATTTGTGAGAAAATGGATTTACCTTGAGACCATAATGTTATCTGAAATAAACCCACAAGCTTAAATATTTCATGGTTTATCTTATATGAGAAATACAAAGTATAAATTAAAAAGCAAAATAAAAGACAGATAACAGGAAACAAGGGGATACCTTTTTGTGCAAATGGATAGTGAACCAAGAGATGAAAGGAAAGTAGGGATTGGGGAGGGGAAGGAGATGGAAAAAGAATTAAAATGTGTTACATCTATGTACTAACTGCCCATCATGAATGTGATCATTATATACTACACATATATAGTGCATAATTTAAACACTTAAACATTAAAAAACCACTATACTATATTATCTTGTTGACCTCCAAGGACAGACAGCATTTTAAAATCATTTTTTAATCCCAGAAGTTTGGCATTGTTTGGTCACCTTACTGGTGCTGGGACAAAATATCTGACATTACAATTTAAAGGACAAAGGATCTTGTTTTTTTCTTTTGACTCATGGTCCACAGGTACATGGGCAACTGGACCCAAGGCAGAAACATCATGGTAGAAGAGCATGGTGGAAGACAGCTGCTCCAGTCATGTCAGAGGCGAAGCAGAGAGCAGGGGAAGAGCCCAAAAGTAAGAGGTGTAACACCCACAGTGGGACATTTTAGTCTTTGTCCGCAGGTCGGTACTGCCTCTTGGTACATGTGGCATCAAAGTAGGAGGCCACTTTTTTGTGCATTTCTGGAAAGCACATCTTTCTCATCCTTTACATGACCCAGGGGCCCCAAAGGGCTTATCCTGAGTTCTAGAAAGATACTTTGGTCACAGCAGTAACAGTTTAGTACCATGTCATTTACCCCAGTAGGAGACCAAACTGGGTATGTTCTTACATTGAAAAAGACAAACTGGATGGTGAAGAATGAAGTGGAAAGAGTCTGTCTACAAATATCCTGAGAAGATAATGAACATATAAAGAAACATCAAGACATCATCTCCAATAACCAGTGATGGGAGAAAACAGTGAATATAAGAAAATTAGAAAAATCCTTCCTTTTCTCATAAACTTTATTTCTCTTAAGGGAGAACCTTTTTGAAATTTTAATTTCAAAAGGTAATTTAGGCTTAATTATGAGGAAAGCTGTGGAGAAAAGATTAGCAATTTTATTATTAATTTGGAAACTGTCTACTAGAGCTTATTCCTTGTGATTACAGCCCCCTTGAAAGTACTGTGGAAATCCTTTTGTACTGTTTGACAGCAAAGCATTCCTCACTGGAAAGAAATCCTATCAATTTACTGAATGTGGATAAACATTTATTCACATATCTCACTGAACCAAGAAGTCATGCTGAAGAGACACCCTGTGTTTCTAAGGAATATTCAAAAGTCATTAGCTAGATGACAGATCTCATTGAGCGGCAGAAAATTCATGCTCAAGAAAAACCAGTGAATATAACATACTCTCATTGAATATTAGAATTTTATACTGAAGAGAGAGCTTTCAATGTGCTATGTGTTATAAAATTACCTCTTAAACTTTATCGCTTATTTTGCGTTTGAGAGATCATACAGAGAGAAGTTTTATAAATGTAAGAAATGCTGAAATATCTTCAGCTCAAAGTAAATCCTCATTCATCAAAATATTCATATTGGAGAGAAATCTTGGAATGTGGGAAAGCTTCCATTCAGTTGTCACACCTTATTCAGCAGAGAAATGGTAGTGGGGAAAACCCCTTTGCCTGTAATGTATGTGGGAAAATCTTCAGCCACAAATCCAGTCTTACTGAGCATGAGAATTTTCATAATAGAGAGAAACCTTTTGAATGTAATGAATGTGGGAAAGCCTTTAGCCAAAAGCAGTGTTATTAAACCCTGGAACACCCATACTGGAAAGAAGCTTTTTGAATGTAATGATTGTAGAAAATCCTTTAGCCAGAAGGAGAACCTCTTTAACCATCAGAAAATTCATACTGGAGAAAAATTTTTTGAGTGCACAGACGATGGGAAAGCTTTCATTCTGAAGTCAAACCTCATCAGACACCAGAGAACTCACAAGGGAGAGAAGCCCTTCATATGTAAACAGTGTGGGAAAATCTTTAGCTGCAAATCAAATCTTACTGAGCGTGAGAAAATTCATATTGGAGAGAAATCCTTTAAATGTAATGAATGTGGAACAGCTTTTGGCCAGAAGTATCTCATAAAACATCAAAACTTTCACACTGGAGAGAAACCCTATGAATATAATGAGTATGGAAAAATGTGTTCTCTTCTCAAAGAACATCACTCACTGTACATATGAGGGTTTATTCAGGTGTTAAACCTTATGAATGCAATCAATGTATGTGGAAAAGCCTTCTCTCAGAGTTCTTCTCTTACTGTGCACATGAGAAGCCATACAGGTGAGAAGCCCTACAGTTATAATGAATGTGGGAAAGCTTTCTCACAGTTCTCAACCCTTACCCTGCACTTGAGAATACACACAGGTAAGAAGTCTTATCAATGTAGTGAATGTGGAAAAGCTTTCAGCTAGAAGTCATATCACATTAGACACCAGAAAATTCATAGTCATTCAGACCTGTAAATAGCTTCAAAATGAGAAAGCATACACCACAAATTTTTATTTCACAGTGCATAAGAACTATTTTGAAGCAAAGCATCCTAAGTGAGGTGAACTTTAACAAATGCTAAAATTTTAGAGGACACCAACAGTTCATATTGAAGAAAAATATTGTATGATGAAAAGGCTGTGCTCAGTCCAAAAAAAAAAAAAAAACCAAACAAAACTATCAGAAGTAATACTGCAGATACATTTCCCTAAAATCAGGAAGGTATGTTACTATACAGCATAAATCTGGAGATCTTCATCAGTATAAGAAAAATAAATCTTATGGACTGGGGATTTAGCTCAGTGGCGTAAGTGCCTGCTTGGCAAGCACATGGTTGAGTTTAATCTTCAGTACCAAAAGAAAAAAGAAAAAGAAAAAAAAAAAAAAAAAGAAAAATAAATTTTAAGTATTACAAAGGAAAAAACAAAAACAAGCTAATAAGCCTTTGTGATAGTAATTCAGCACAGTGGAAGATACTTCAGAAAGACCTATACATTTATTCAAATATAGAATGTGAAAGGTGGTGTTAGGAGGTAAGGAAATAATTTAAAAATCTATTTGGAGATAATCTGTTCTTTGTGGGTAGACAGTGGACCATGGATTACACAGAAAAGTAAAACTCACAAGAATTAAAGATAGAATTACTAAAATCCAGTATACTAAAAATGGTTAGGAACTTGAGAGTAGGAAAACATTTCTTATAATAAACTCAAAAATACGTAAAAGTTTTACTTATGTGTACACTCAGGAAATATCAGGAATTTCTCTGTGGCTCAATTTGTAGTAGCCAGATATTGGAAACAATTCAAATACTTTATGATGCAGTACTACACATCTATAAAAATATAACAGATCAAAGCCACATGTTCATGGAAACACCTAAAAAATGTTGAGAGGGAAAGCTGGAGAACAATGCATATTGTACAATGACTTTTTGTAAATTTGAATTATAGAAGTTTCCTTGATGAAGTTCGACACTTTCTATTGCTAATGGATTCACATACATAAGTAAATGTCTTTGAAATGAATTGGAAGGATACAGACCAAACTCTTAGTGGTAGTCTGTGAAGAGTGGAGAAGGGATGGGAATGAGTGAGAGGGTGGGGATGGGGAGGAGCTTCATTGTTTTATATAAATATCCATTTCTCTGCAAGCAAATGTAAGAAGATACTCACTCAGTTTTCATTGTGGTATATGGATATCTTGTCTTATTTTTTGTACTTTTCTGTATTTTTAAAGTTTCACAAAATTAAAAAAATTAGGGTGTTGATAAGAATTCTGAACCTGTAGAAGTCATGTTATAATGAATTCCCAAATACTAAACTTTTCATAGAAGTTATTTCTAAAAATTTTATCAACAATGAGTAGATAGACTTACTCTATGTAATATAAAATTATCTATTTTATTAAAATTTAAAATGACAAAAAAAAAAAAGACAATGTAGTTAGTTCCCAAGGCCATACCATCCATGACCTACTTACACACACCCTAAAGTTTATTTTACTAATCTCCTAGGTGTCTCAAGCCCATATGGCAAAGATCAACTAACTACAGGCATACAACCTAATACTTAAGCTTCCTGTAACATCTGCCAACAAGAAATAATGCCACAAAATTAGAAACTCAGATTTATGTAGCATAGATATTCCCCAGAATCTGTTATGGTTATAATGTACAACATGGTCATGAAGGATGTTTCACAGTTTGTCCCTTAGAGATATATCATGCCAGAAAAATGACTGATCTTTACTATACTACTACTTTCTAAGATTAGGGCCACAAAATGTATAGTTATTTTAAAATATTTTAATAGACATTAAAACTAAAGTTATTTTATTTCTTTCTAAAATTAATGACCTAGAATGTACCCCATTCTTTGAACACACCAGTTAGTTGATGAGCTAGAATATGTCTCATTCTTTGAATATTTTTCTTAGTTGATACTTCATATAATGAGTGCCAAAAACTGTAATTCTGCTGACTTTCATAAGGAAAGAATGCCACTGCTTAACACATGAGGCAGAAACATGATTCTTATTACCTTTATGGTTTCAGTGGGCACTCCAGGTTCAGGAACCTTGTCCAAGTAAGTGGTCAGGTCTTGATCAACATGTTCAAATACCAGTGTCAGTTTGGTTTCTCTGTCTGTCCGAGACACTGTGCACACATCAAACAACCTAGAAGAAAAAAGAAGGAAATTAAGTAGGTGGAAATAATAAAGTAGTAGTCTATGTCTTACACATATTCCTTGGTTTTATCACATACTAGGGTAAGAAAAAGTGCCAGTGTCTATCATTCCTATAGTGATCTATGTAAAGATACCTAATGGGGTTTGATCCTTTATGTTAACATGAAAATTCAGGAGAGGACCACACATGAAATGCCTGGTTAACACTGAGAGCATCCAAAGCAGCCTGACAGGAGGACTAAACATTTAGCTGCAGAGTATCCTTGGTTAAGACCTTAGGTTGAACTTGTTGATAGAAATAGTTTTAAAAATTTGCAGTCCAGGCAAAATACACTGCTTCTTGGCTGAAGTTTGAGAATTATTTCAGATAAATTAAGCATTTTTTGGACTCTGCAATGAAGATTTTCCTGGAATTTGAGGTGTCACTGCCCCGCCTATGAAGTTCTAAGGCAACTTTGTCTTCCTAGTGAATCAAATTACTATTTCTCTGGAAAGGGAACCCATTCTTTTATTTATTTATTTATTTATATTAAGACAGGGCCTCGCTATGTACCCTAAAGTAGTCCTGAACTTGCAGCAATTCTCCTGACAAAGTCTCTTGAGTGCTGGGATTATAGGTGTGCATCACCATACCTGGCTTAAACATTCTTAGAACAGAAATTGAACTCAGGACCTTGTGCTTGCCAAGCAGGTGCTGTGCCACTGAGCCATATCCCTAGCCCTTAAACTAGTTTTAAAATTCCAACAATTAGGTTAAAACCAATACTGAAAATTTTTTAAGGTTTTAAAAAATCTCTTTTGACAGTTTATAACTGTATATACTTATGAGACATAGTGTGATATTTTTGCTATATTGTTGAACTATTGCACAGAATGGAGACTAAAAAACAATGCAGTGTATATTGCAAAATTGCTGAAAGAGTTTAAATGTTTTCACCACAAAAATGACAAGTATGTGACAGATTTATTAATTAGCTTTATTAAATTATTTTATAATATAAACAATAAAAATTTTAAATTTCTGTTTTTGAGGAAGAAAAAATCTGCATTGGTAAACTTGGTAAATTGATAAATGTTGTCCTTAAGTGATAAAAACAAATTAACAAATATTATAATTAAGTTCAGTTACTTGCCTAAGACCTTACAACTAATTCAAAATTTAAGTTTTAAAAACAAACAAAAACAGTCTTCAGTAGTCAAAAGAATTTTCAAGCCAAAGGACAAAATGTCCTTTAGTTTCAACCATAGTGCGCTATCTGGCAGAAGAGACACTCACCAAATGTTTGAAGAATTAAACCAGCCACAAACAAGCTGTAAGAAAAGCATTTTAAAAGAATGCAGTATAAATACTAAGAAAAAGCTAATAAAATGTTAGTCGTTATATTTTTCATTAAAATACTAAATAAATGCCCTGTTTAAAGAAACTAATTGTATGTATATATGCAGCCCAGTTACTATAAATACAGTTCACACTCACTTGCTTGGGTCCGGTTTGTATATTACTTTCATTAACCTTTTAGTGCCCTTACAGGCTCACCATACCACCGACATTTCTGGGCTATGGGCCCTACAACATTTGGTACTTCTCTGTGAATCTAAACTGATTTTAAAAAACTAAAGAGCACTTTAATTAGTTTAAACCTGGTAGGGCAAACAACAGACCATCAGTGACCATGTATGTGTCACAGCCAGAATAAAAATACTGCTCATCCATGGGCAATTTAGGGTGAATTCCACAACTACATTACAACCAACCAAAATCAACTGAATATTTTCCCTCATATTTGCTACTTTCAGATATTTTGTTTTATGCTTTCATATCTGTTTCTAAATCCTACTACTTATTGACATAGTATGGAAAAGTACTGATAGGTAAAAATTCGTAATTAATTTATTAAAGATATGGCCATAAATCATGTAAGCTCCATATACTATGAAAAGTAGGATTGCTATCAAGCATGGATTTAACATTTAGAAAGGATATCAGGATAATCCTTTGAGCTTGACAATTTGAGCTAACTACCATATATTGACAGACTTCATTGAGCTGTATTATTCCTATAAAATGTACATCCTTGGACAACTTCACTTTTTCTTCCTTTTGAAAAAGAAAAAGGAGTTTCAAAATTATCGAACTTCTTTGTATCTGTGACTTGTATATTTGAAATATAAGAGCAATGAACCCAAAATGACATATGCTAAATCGAATACAAACACAGAAATTGCCATATTATATACCTATGACAGTTGTGCTGCTCAAACATTACTTTAAAGAACGTTTCATTATAATTAATAGAAGAATATATTTCTGATCATAATTTTAGCAACTCCATTTCTTATGACATTTATAGTCTATAATGTATGTAAAGCATTTTGGCAATTTCTAAAACAAAAAATAAATACTGATGAGTACATAATGGGAGAATACAATGACCCGGAAACACTGCTGGACCAAAAGGTCACCTGCTCCCCAAACCGTTGTCTTAGAAGTTACCTAACAGCACTGGCAGCTTGCTGTTGCTTCATTTCACTGAAACTGTTTTCAAGCACTCTTAGCATGACACAATTCATGAATAACACTAACTCATCCAAGCTGTTTTCCTCAAAATTACATAACACCATTTACTTCGAAATACTAAGATTCACTGATGCCACCTACAGTAAACAGACTATTCATGTCACTTTCAAAGGCTGCCCAAAACATATGCCCCGGGTGATTAACTTATGTGATTAACCTTAGGGGAAAAAAAAATCACTCATTCTACTGGTAGTTTTTTAAAAGTAGGATGAATTGTAAAGAGATCTATGACAGTATATACAGCAGAATATCACTGTATGAATTTTAATGCATGTATTTTTAGGCTACAAAAAGAATGGTGAAGTTGCTGGTACAGGTTCAAGGAGATAATCTCTTTTAATTTTTAAGGTATTAGAAAAGTGGCATATAATACATTCACTCAGAAATCCCCAAGGGCACCAAGTAAAAGTCGCAAGTGTACCTGTAAGATACACTCCTTGCTTTGGCTCCAATGCCAACCATTCACGTCCTATAGATCCACTATCTAGTAGGAGACATTTGGGAAAAACTGTTCTTCAGTAAAGTATGAAATTTGGTTTGATTTAATTTTTTAGTAAATATTACTGTGGTAAAAATTAACAGTCATATTAGTTTTCATGGGTAGAAAATGCACTTCAAGACAACAGTTGTAAATATTAACCTTAGAAATTTCAGAATATTTATGATGCTCTTCTCTGTGAATCCCTCTAAAATTACCCCAAATCAAAATAGCCATGTTGATGGGAGATAAGACAGACAATTTCATAAAAAGCCACTGAGCTGAAGAAGAACTGAAACCCCTGGTAGTTGGCTGGAGGTTAGCAGTATATATGTATATAAATCAATGAGGAATGTGGCTAGGCTGCCTATAACCTGCATACTTGCAAAACAAAAAAGCCAAACAGGTCTGAACATTTGAACAGGAACATTGGAGAGTAACTTCCACTGTATGACTCCTGTGTTGATCAACATTTTTATGCCTTTCCAAAACTTCTTTTGTGTTTTTCTTTTGTTAGTTTATTCAGAAAGTTGACAAAAATACCATTTCAATGACCTCACTTCCACAAGAAAAATTTAATCTCCTGTTTGGAATATGAATAAAATAGCTCTCAGATTACTTTCAAAAAAATTGTCATTCAAATTTATCCACGAGAACATCATGCAATATGATGCAAGTGACTATTTCTTCAAAAAATAGGAGTAAAAAGACATTTTTGGCATTTACTAATGCTATGCATCCAGTTTAGCTGTGCAAATGCAATCCAAACCAGGCAGATAGGTCACGATCATTTCACAATGAAGTCAGCCAAACCTCTGACTGTCCCATAAAGTAAGTTCTCTTGCTGTCTCTATTGTCCTGACCCTCCAGCTGCAGGGCAGAGAACAGGCACAGCGGTCCAGCACAACACTCAACCTTCCAGCTATCCTAGTGATGTAATTATCTCATAACAAAATATCTCCCTGAATTAACTCTGCATCCAACCCATTGTAATTCTTAATGACTGCTTCCTGTTCATGTTCTCAATTTAACTTGCTATTCAGGATCTACTATATAGGCCTCCATCTAATGGATGGGATTACATCCAATAGGTTTGGGATTTACAAAGATTACAATTTACAAAGATCTCCCAACAAAATGATTTGTAAACACAAGTTCTGCCTTTTCATTGTGGTTACAATAAAAGGGAAATCTGTATTATTTGCTGTGATTACTTTGAACCATCACAGGAAGTTCTATGAGGATTTTTTTCCCTGTGAGGTTTATTTTTTTTAACATCCTCTTGAATATTCGAACATCAAATAATTCAAGAACTGAGACATGTCTGACATAGCAGCCTAAAGGCCACAACAAAATTTTATTTGAGCTAGCGCCAGTTCTTGGAATTGAGAAGAGTTCCTTACCTAGTCTGCTCCTCAGAAGCATATTCTGTGGGCACTGTTTGTATGTAGCAAGTTCACACATCTCACAAGCCCTGCGCTACAGTAGGATTCTGCCAGGGTGTTCTCTTTTGCTCATTTAATAGTGACTGTATGTGTACTTATTCTGCACCAACACTGAATGATATCACTCTAGAAGTATTCGCCACAATAAGGAGCATGTTGTTAAAAGGAAATTGCTATTTTAGCAGCATCCAAAATATATACAAGTTCCTACCATGTGCAGCCACTAAGTTTTAAAGGTTCCAACAGATGTTAAGACAAGTGTCCTTTAACAGCTTTACTATCCAGCTGTGTCACAGATTTACATTTAAAAATACATGTAACCATATACAGCTATATATTAATATCAAATATATTTTTTAAAACCATGTGCAATTTTATGTGTAACATCAAAGTAAATTCATTCTACATTCTATCACAATAGACTACAGTTGCTTTCTCCCTTTCCAGCACCTGTTTTATTTCTTCTGAAAGTCATATCTTTATTTTCT